AGGTACAAGGTTCGAGTGCCTAATGCTTCAAAAGAAAGGCCAACAATCAATACGCCAGAGTTTGGAATTAGGAAAGGTTTATTGATTGGGAAGGTGCCAACTGAGAAGATGGGAGAACTAATCCTCAGATCCCTCTTAAGAAAGCCCCAAATTCAGGCATCTTTTGTGTCAAGGGAAGGGAGGAAGGTGTGGTCAGTAGACAGTGAGACAGCTAGGCGCCGACAGGGATCCAAGACGGCATCGTCTGGACCTGCTGCGAGCTGCCTTCCAACTGGGCTCACCCAGCGGGAGCACCTGCAGGCTCTGGAGGCGGGGCATAGGCAGCTCTGTGCTCCGGGCCACACACTGTGTGTGGCTGCGTCCTCCACACAGAGAGGGCTTTCCGTGGTGCCCCCTGGCCCTCCTGCCCTTCGGTGCTCCTGGCCGGCCTTGGAATGCCCGCTGATCACTCCCATATCTCTGTCAATACAGGAGTCACATGTGCCGAGCCGGCACAGCCAGGTTCAGTGAGCCTGAGAGTGGGCAGTGAAGGATTGAGAAAAGAGAAGAAAGCCGGGTCTGGCTGGGACACTGCCTCCTCTGATGGAGAGCCAGCGCCACGCACTACAAGCCGAGCCTTTATTTTATAGCCAGTTTCCACGAGGGAAAGTAAGGGCGTGGTCAAGATGGTTACAACCTTCTTGTGGGTTTTGAACCTACTCAATTACATGCACCTGAAATCTATCAAGCCCACATCATTCAGGCACGTGGAACTATAGGTTCGCACCATAAGGTCAAGCTTACAAACAGCCTTCGGCTGCAATTGTGCTGGGAGGGCTTTGCCCTCCAAGCGAGGACTTGCACGTGGCTTTGCCACGAGAGGACCAGCACCCTCTCATCAGTCTGAGGCTTGAACCTGTCCAAACACTGTAGCCGCTCTCCACAGTCACAGTCGTTTGGGGACTTGAAAAACAACTGTGCAAGCTGAAACCTTGCAGGACAAACTTAATAATCACTGGGGAAAGTTCCTTACATAGGCATGTAGGTGAGTTCCCTGAGAATATGGGACTCCAGGACAAAGGGGGCAGTTGAGGCCTATATATAACATTCTGGACTAAGAGGGAGGCCAGGGTCTGGGACTGCAGAGGAAGGTGGGCAGCTCACAGGTAGAAGAGTGAGAGCAAGCATCTGGCCCACCAGCGGGACACAGAGGGGAGCCCTTCTAGATTCTTCCCCGTCTGCTACACTTAGGTCATATTTTGATGCTCCCTTTCTTTAGGCAGGTTTTTCTAGATGAATTCCTTGAAGCGTGGGGACAGTCTTAAAAAAACAGCTTAAAATAACCCATGTTTCCAAGAGGCATATTTTGGCAAACTCTGCTTCCCCTCACTGGCCATCAGCCTTCCTGTGTGCCTTAGTTCTTTCGCCTGAAGATGGCATTGGCCTTGGAGATGTTTCTCGCTGGCTGTGTCCTCACAATGCATGACACACCAGTGCATTCTAGTGGGGAAACTGGTTCGTTGTTTTGTAGGCTGTGCCATGATTCTTAGCTTGATAGGTTCATAAACGATGCTCATAAAGGAGTCACCCATGAAAGGCAGGCGACACAGAACCTAGCATCAGGCTTCAGAAATAGCCCAAGGAAATCTGGAAGGAAAAAATGTGTTTTTACAGGAGCCCCTGCCACCAATCACAAGTATTATACACACCAATACACACCACTATCAACTCCCTTTTACAAACCTTTCACACATCAGGAAGCATCTGGAAACGTTCAAGCTTCAAGGATTTAATGTATATAACAGATGGGATATGGGCTTTGGAACTCAACAGACCTATGATGGAATTCCAGCCGCATGGATGGATGTTTTTTGAAAAATTAACCTCTCTCTACCTCATTGTCCTCAATTATAAAATCGGTTTAGTAATACCAGTCTCCTAGGTTATTATGAGTATTAAATGAGATAATTTCTGGACATGGTAAGGGCCTTCTGGGTCTGGCCCAGCACACCTTAGGAGCATACACATTGCTCCTTTTATTAATATCTCCATGTTCTCTTAGCAAAGCCAAAATTAAAGGAAGAAAGTGCCCAAAGCAGCGGTTCTCAACCTGTGGGTCACGACCCCTTTGGCAGTCGAACGACCCTTTCACAGGGGTCGCCTAAGACCATCCTGTATATCAGATATTTACATGACGATTCATAACAGTAGCAACATTACAGTTACTAAGTAGCAACGAAAATAATTTTATGGTTGGGTCACAACATGAGGGAGGAACTGTATTTAAAGGGCCAGAAGGTTGAGAACCACTGGAGAGGTTTAAGGCATCAAGGACACATCAGTGGAGGGACATCTTTCTTTGTGTGTGGCTTTATTTTTATTGATGAGGGAGAGAGAGAGAGAGCAATAGAGAGAGAGAGAGAGATTTGTTGTTCTACTTATTTATGCATTCAATGGTTGATTCTTGTATGTGCCCTGATTGGGGATCGAACTCACAACTTTGATGTATCGGGACAATGCTCCAACCAACTGAGCTACCCGGCCAGGGCGAGAGCCACTCACCTTTCAAATACATTGTTCTCAGAGGAAGGGTTTAGGTCAGTGCTCTTCAAACATTTTGCCAGCATCCTCTCAACCCATTCACTGTTAGCACACAGCTGAGCAAAACATCACAGGTCTAGTGTCTATTTTTATAAACATGGATTTTTCTTTTTTAATTGGTTCATTCATCATAAAATGAAGCAGAGCTCTGCATCAGTAATTCAAGTTTTCACTTTTAGAGCTGTAAATGTTGAGAAACGTTGATCAGATAATTGGTGGGACTGAAGAGTGATGTCTCTTAACACTTGACCTCCTCGGGGACAGGTCAAAGTGCCGCCTATTGGAACCCTTGCAAAAGGAGTGTTCCCCCAGTCTCTGCTTCTTCGACACCTACACCAATATTTCAAATTGTTGCGAAGGCAACACACCAAGGCAAAGGGGGAAAAGGTGATTGTGAAAGAGGCCTCAACCTAGTGGAGCAACACAGAAGTTGATGATCTAGAAACTGATTCCTTATCATTGTTCATATACACCCTGGGAAATTCTCCCAATTTTGTGCCTCTGAGCCAGGGCCAGAACTAGTGACACACTCACCTGGGGTACAAAATTAAAGGAAGCACCAAAAAAAACCCCTCAGTAATCATGATACATAATGCTTGAATGAGATATTTGTAAAAATAAAAATTAATACAAAAAAATCCGTGATGAACAAAACATCAAAATTTAAAATAAAAATCCCAGGACAGGCGTACCCCAGCTCGAAGTCCACAGGTGTCCCAAATATAAGAACTGGCGGCTGATCCAAGATGGGTAACCATTCTCTTGCCCATACTGCCACCTGCTGCCGGAAGTGAGTAATTCTCGCTGTCTGGCCAATCGGGCGTCCCAGTACAGTGTCCCCACACTCTCTTGCCTGCAGCCACCCACCTCAGGAACCTTGGGAACCTCTGGCCACCTGCTTCCTGGTCAATGGCTGCATGTGCTAAAAAGAGCCCAAGGCTCAGTTTCCAGACCTAGATCTGAGTGTCAGCGCTGCCTCTTTGCTGGGCCTTCTTGAACGAGTCACATCACCCTTCTGAGCCTGAGTTTCTGCACCTAAAATGGACCTCATTACCTCTTCCCATAATTGAGCAATTACGTGAGATTCTTTCTGTGACAATGCCAAGCAGACCGGCCAGAAGTATGCTGCCTCAGCCGGCCCACCCACTACCATGGATCAAATCACACTGTCACCAATTTATTACCGAAGGCGAGACGCTCCAAAAGACAACCACGCCAAACAAGGTGCTAGAGAAGTCCAGACAGTGGCCAGTGCCGTGGCCAGTAGGATAAGGAAGGCTTCCAGTAGGAGGTGTCATTAGAGCTGAGCCTACGGGACCGGAAGGGCCAGGTCAGGCCAAGAGCTGGCCAATAGCCTCTAGGGATCGCTAGGCCACATCTCTTTTACCTCGGGAACATTCCAGGACATGAAGCAAGCATTAGAGTGGTGGTAGGAAGGCCAAGGCCCTTGTCATCAGCCCTGGGTTCAATCCTGGCTGTGCTACTTACGAGCTGTGTGACCAAAGGAAGTCACTTAACTTCCTTGAGCCTCACGGCCTTCTCTAGGGGATGGGGATAATAAGACATCTTGTCCTGGGTGGGTAAGATTAAATAAGATGACATACTTAAATCGCCTGCGATATGGTGGCTCAATGAGTGGCAGCTGCTTTTGTTAACTTGGGGACTTCTGTGAGGAGTGGGAAGAACAGGGACACACCCGTTGGGCAACCCTAGCAATGGTCATATTTGGCTTC